ACAGTGAAACTTTGGTGCTCACTGAGTCTGCCCCTTGAGTGTGTCTCTTATGGATGTGTAGAGTTGTAATCTGGTATGGTCTGACACTGACCAGTGGGTACACTGGCTCTTGGGTCTCCAGGGAGTTGGAAGGTCAGCCACTGCCTGGGGCCACCCAGCAGGAGCTACAGAGAGAGCTGCAGATTCCTCCTCTTTGTATCAGGTTTGGAAGTGCCCAGACGAGGCCCAGCTGTGAAGCAAGACAGGCTGGTGCTGGTGCTGGGTTTGGGGCCTTTTATTGATAGGTTTGGGATTCTCTGACCCAGCTGCAGCTTGTTTGACAGATTTTACCCTGAGCAAGGAAAGACCATTCATATGCAAAAGCTGTTGCAAGCAGCTTGGGTGGGGTAGTAAATTGGATGAGGCCAGGTCTCAGGGAATCACCAGGGTGGAGCAAACAGAAATGGCTTCCAGTCATCCCTGTGATGGGTAGGTCCCAGAATAGGAACAGTGACCCCTGCGAGCACCTCCATCTGAGATAAAGCCACCCTCGAGTTCCTGCCCAGATGCCAGACAATCCAGTTCCTATTCATATGTGTCTGGGTCCCCCAGAGCCTCGCCCTGGTGCTGGAGCTCAGAGAAAGCAGGATCTTGTAAGTTCAGTTCGTTGTGCTGGCCTTTTAAGAGGAGTAGCTGGGTCTCCAGCAGCCTCTGTGTTATTCCAATCTGCACTGTTTTTTACAGCCTGTAGTTCTTATTGCCCATAGGGATTTCTTTTCCCAGCTCTGGGACCCTGAGCTGGGCGTCTGGTGTGGGACTGGGACCCCTTGCTCCTCTGGGTGGCCTCTGCAGAGTTGATCTCCCTCCTGATTAAAAAAGCAGCCCACGTGGATGCCAAACGAGCCCATTCTGTGCCTCTGCCCCTCCTACCAGTCTCAGTGTGCTTTCTTTCTTATTTCTCTAGTTGTAGGACTTCGATTCAGCCAGCTTTCAGATGGCTCTGGATGATGGTTGTTCTCTATTTTAGTTGT